AGCCAGCATTAGAGACTTTATTTATTGCTAAGACTCTTACTTGAACTTCAAGATGTACTGTTTTGTTGCTAAGTAAGTATAGGGCCATGTTGTAGGATATATTCTGATTCTGATATGATAGACAATAAAACTGCTACTACAGTAGCAATTAAAATTTCCCCACTTTCCTTGATGTGCCCTTGTCTGGTCCTTGGCTGGTTCCCTATAATTCCTTTTTAAACATCATCTTTGTACTAAAATATTCTTCCTGTCATGATTTGTGAACAATAAGATCTAAAGAGAAGCATCATCTCCTGTCAGACCCTGTAATTCAGTGAAAGGGTGGATTCAGAGTAAAAACATATGCAAGAGGGGGATCACTCCGATCAGTGTATTCTCATTATGAGTTCGTATGAAATCGTACGAAAAGTTATGCACTGTAATTTCGTACGTTTTGGACGTTTTTTTCGTTGTATGCGCATGTGAATATAAATTACAATTAGCCCTAACCCTAAGATATAAAACAGCAAGCAACGTAGTTAGAGACATGAATAAGTGATTACTTCACTGTTTTTCCCAGTTTTACGTCCGTCCGAGGATCTGCTTTTTTTTCCTGTCTGCCAGCGCATGCGCACTGATCTGTTTTTTTGAGGAAAAATGTCCAAAACGTACGAAATAGTGTGCATAACTTTTCGTACGATCTCATACGAACTGATAATGAGAATATGTTGCTCCGGTGGCCGGAAGTTGGAGGGGAATACGCTGGGAGTTGCAGGGAAGTGTGCTGCCATTCAGCTGGTGTTTGACTGGGAGGGGCAGTTTTGAATGGCTGCTGCTGTATCTTTATGTTTGAAGTCTGAAATGTGGAAAAAGGTTGAAAAGTTGAAGGGGGCCAACTACTTTCACACAGCACTGTATGTATTGCCTGTAAATGGTCAAATGGTAAATGACTGTACCGTACTTAAAGCTTTATTAACTATGAGGACCCCAAAGCCCTTTACACTACATTCAGTCATTCACCAAGTCACTGCATATTTTACACTGATGGAGGTAACCTACATGGACGCCACTGCTGCCCAGAGGCAGAAGGGAGGCTGCCATGCAGTCAGCGCCGTCTGACCACCAACAGCAGGCCAGGATGGTGAAGTGTTTTGCCCAAGGACATAATGAGTGAGACGGACAGAGCGAGGCTTCAAACCAGCAGCCTGTTAAAGGATGAGACCCTAACCACCTGAACTACAGTTACCCAGATGGTAAAGACAGTCTCTGTCTCTGATTTCAGTATTGTGGTAGGCCTATTTCATTTTCTAATTTTTAAATAAAAATAAAAAATCAATCTTTAACACTCTGCTTATAAAACATCCATCATGGATGCCACCTTCCACCCTCTGCAGCAGACTGGAGAGGAGCTGAGCAGCTCCTTTAGTCAAAGACTTTTACAGCCTGTTTGGAAATAGGAGCGCTACTGCAGGTCATTCATCCTGCTGCAACCAGACTCTACAATACAACACTACAACAGCAATAATGGCTGCAATGGAGAATAATTACTATTTAATACCCTGTGCAATAACTATATATAAATATATACATCCATCTATAGAAATACCCATGTAAACACCCTGTGCAATAACCCTGTATAATGATCCTACTATGAAAATAAAAAGTTGTCGTATATGGACCCACTTTATATAATGTATATATCCTATGAAATATTTTTAATGCAAAATTACCCCTGACTATATATATATATATATATATATATATATATATATATATATATATATATATATATATATATATACACATATATATACATGTTATATCTAATATATCTGACAAATTTGTTTTTACAAACGCTTTTTTTTTCCAATAAGCATTCTAAATCACATTTAATGAATTTTAATGCCATATAAGGCCTTAAATAAAAAAATACAAATGAAATGACTTTTAATGACCTGCAGAAACCCTGTATTTGAGCTGATGTAACAAGTACATTTCTCTGCTGTGGGACCAATTAGGTCAATTAATCAATCAAAAAGAAGGGGGGAAAAAAAGAAAAACTTTAAAACTTAAGATGTTTCAAATTCTGTCTGTTTAGTAACCTTTAACCTACTGAAGGGGAATTTTGGATGCAACATTTTCTGCAGTTGAACAATCATATAATGAGGGTCTGACTTCAAGAGATCTCGGATTGTGAACAGTTTGTGACTTTGGAACAAACATATTAAGTCGAAAAATGTTTCTCTAAGATTACAACACTTTAAGAGGTTTTAGATTTTATTATACTTACAGGTAATACACATGGTGGACATAAAGGCTAGATAGAAATGACATTTTTACACTAATGTTTGTTTAAGAGCAACAACCTTAATCATTTGGGTTTCTGCTCAGAAAGGAAACAGGCATACTTTTTCATGCTTTAGGATTTATTTTTTTTTAAATACATAAAACATATCTTTCCTACTTTAATGTTAATGTTTATCCTCAGTATTAACATTTTCTGATGTGCCATAGATGCCACATAAACTGCATTATCATAGATTTAGATTTCTGAAGAAAAAAAAGAGCTGGGATTAACCAATTGTTCAAAGCGTCCCTCAGAAGATGAAATTAAAAAGTAATTACTGGAAGCCTTAATCTATAGACAACCCACATCTTCCAAAACAGTCAGTCAGTAGGACGGTGAATATATTCAGCATAACTGCTGAAGGGTCCAATATTAGATTGGACATTACCTTAATGTTGATTTGCATTTGCTAATTACAAAAAGAGGAGAAGAAAAGAGAAGAAGAAGAAGAATTAGAGGAGTTGGGCAAGAGGCAGGAGGAGTGATGTGAAATAGGTGAAGACATGAGAGATGATGGATTTCCTGTCGGAATAAGTGATAAGGATGGATGCTGTTTGATCAATGGGTCGTCTGTCTGCCTCTCATCCTTATAGCTCTCCACTGGGTGGATTTTTTCCTCACGCAAACTAAACACAAATGTAATTTTCTCTATTTCATTTTCAGCGGCAGCAGGAGTTAATAATGAATGAAGGGATTCTCGCCTTATGCCTTTAATACAAATTCACAAGTGAAATAAAATGAATTCAAGGATTTCCTTAAATTTTTGACTGTTTTTTTTTTTTTACATGCATTTCAAATTCAGGTAATTAAATTAATTTAAAAAAATGTTTATTTATGGATTGCATTGAAAGGACCGATCTTCTGTGATCTTTTTCCTCCTTCGCTTGTCTTCTGTCCATCATCCAAACGATCCCCCTCCTCTATGACTTCTTTTCTTTGTTAACTGCCCCATCTGTCTCCCTCTCCCTCTCTAATTGTTCCTGTCCTGCCAAATGAGACATTCACCCTTATCCCCTTCTCATCCATATGGCTAACCTCCTCACTTCCTCTTGCACCTATCATCATCATCATGCCTATAAATTAAAGCGCACACTTTCCCTCCGCCATCTTTGTACTTGAACTTTTCTCCCCAGGCAATTTGCATACTGAAAAACAGCAGGCAAACTATATGCATGAATATCTATACTAAGGCACAGTTAGGCTGTGATGTATTAAGCATGCATATTTAAATGTTGAGAACTAGAATATGCATGAGGATGAACTCTTTATGGACCAGAAAAATTGAAAAGGCATTGATGCTTGTAGGTTTTGGGAGTGCAGGAACTTCATTTGGCTCTGGGCGAATTGTGCTGCTTTCTTTCTCCAGATTTCTCCTCTTTTTGTAATTATCATGCAAATCTGAAGTTACATGATTGCTTCTGTGTGAATTCAATATTTGCATCGATGAAGGGAAAAGAAACTCCCGTTCTTACCTTGAGCTTCATCATTGAGTCCTGGCAGAGCTTGTCTCCACGGGCGGCAGTGACCTCGTCCAGGCCGATGAGTTTGGCCTTGTAGCGGACGCCATCGCCCTTAAAACGCCTGATGAGAGCTGCCTCGCTGCGATCCTGCCCTGCAGACACACAAACACACAGACGCTGCAGTCAACAGTGCAGCTTCCAGTCAAGGACCTCAATCTACCTCTGACCGGCGCTATTGCCTCAGGAACATCAATCAAATGGACTACACAAGGCTTAACCCCTTGAGCCCGACGGGCCCGGTACCAGGCCCAGCTGATGTTTATCTATTTATAGAAATGGCCAAACACGTGGTCACATGGTGTTTCATCCACACGCCTTTTAAATGGGGTTTTAAAATTTCTGAAACATGAAACTAAACTATTTTTTTTTTATACTTTTTGTTTTATAGCTGTGTAAACAAATAAAATGAGATTTAAAATTCCACCTGACATGTGTGACTGCGGGAGCAATGCAACAACAGGTATTCATTTTTTAGCCCCGCCCCCTAATGGCCGCATCATTGGAAACTAGAGGCTCAGACCTTTCCAAGGAGGGGTCGGAGGTCATTGTGTGACCATTTCAGGTGATGTAACCGCCATGCGTTACATAAGCTGCTCTGTTATTCTTATTTTCTATTCAGTTTGGTGATATTATTGGTAAATTTAAATGAACCAACGGCTAAATCTTAGGAACAAAGGCTTTGTCTCATGCAGAAGGTCTCCATTAATGGAAATCAGCATATTTGGCCACTTTTGGCACTGTGCCAGAATCAGATTTCCTCCTAGCTCACTGCCCACTAAAACCTTTGTAGAACAAACATGCTTCAACTTATTCAGTCCAAATTTGCTTGACTTATAGTCAAGATGTGGATCTATAAAGTCTGAGAAATCATCCAGAGTTTCAAATGGGCTTTCATGGTGTTTTATGGTAACCTGACTCCGCCAGATGGATTTGCTCCGCATATCCATCTGGAAACCTTCCGTTGAAGTAATTTTGGGAAGAGGCGAAAATACTGGTTAGCTGATTGGCCTATGTTGGTGATAGACGGGCCAAATAAACCAATCAGATCAACGA